CCTCTTTATCCAGTCGTCTCGCCAGTACTTTCGTATATGCAATAACAGCAGCTTTGGATACATTGTAAGCAATGGATTCTTGATTTTAAACTAATGTCAACAGTAATGATTTATGGGTGTCAAGACAATAATCATGGCGTTATTCATGCCTGATGTCAGCCATCCTTCTTCAGCATATACACCAGCTCGAACATCATCTTGAAACTTATTCACAAGCCTATCTAACTGTTCTTGGGTCAAATCCTGACTTGAAAACTGGTTTCTCTATGATTCTGATGGAAGCACAGTAAGTCTCCCAAGCCCGCTAGAAAGATTGATTATTCTACCTCCAGGGTTTTTTATTATTGGAAGAAACGATTCGGTCATCTGAAATGAATTGAAACGTGTAGTAAATGGCCTTTAGTAGTACTAATATGTTTGGCTCATAAAATGTCATCACCTTCTTTAGCCCAAAGTAATTAGTTTTAAGAGTCTTTTCAATAACTTCGTAGCTAAATGGTTCCCCTTGAAATTCGGTCCCTGAAAAGAGAAACGTGGGTCTGAGTTCTCGTTTGAAACTAACGCTCATTCATTACCACTATGTGCTAATTCAATCCTCACCAAGAGCGGCATTGTTAATCAAGATATCCACCTCACCACACACATTCCGAATAGTTTCTTTAAAGTTTTTCACACTTGTACTGTCCGTAACATTTAATATACCGAATCTAATCTCTGCTGCTCCACCTTCGGCCTCCAGCACATCCTTATTTTTTAGTTCACCAGTAACCTCAGCCAGTGCGGCCACGCCTTTAGAAACATCTCGGGAAGTAAAATAGATTACAAGCTTTGGCATGGTTTGTGGATAGATCGATTTGGTATATTCGATAGCAAGATTGCGCACAATTGCTCTTCCTATGCCTTTGTTCTAAAGTATGAAATAAATAAAAACCGACTGTATAAGCTTCTGATGATAAATGAAGATGCAACAATTCATTTCATCGTCCGAGAAAAGGCCATACATACAGCACCAGTTACAATTACTGTAATGTTTGTCATTATTACAAATTATTCCAATAGTGGCGATTCCATGTTGACTGTTTCGACGACAGACACATCATTCGTAGCAAGTTTGTTTAACTTCAGTTACACAATATTTTCTTATACGAAGTTAGAATAAATTCTGCCCAACATGTATGCGCTATTTAATAGAAGCGTCATATTTTTCATTTATTATTCGATGTCTATATTCTAGTTGAGCCCTTTTCTGTATGCTAAGCAAAAAAGCAGAAGCGGAAAAGCATGCAAGTTTTGTTCTAAAACAATCAACTACCAACTTAAATTTACATAATCAATTTAAATACTCAATCATAACATGGTAAGTAATCAACTCGACTTCCGATCTGATAAGACTTTGACAAGAATGGTATAAAGTAGGAATAATCCAAATATTATCTGGTATCTCTGGTTAGCTATTTGAATAAACAAATAGTCATTACAACAAACACACATAATACACTTAAAATTATATCATTACTGTTACGAGAGCATTTGTCCAAATTGACCGGGATATTCTCAAATTTAGTCTAAACATGGTCTTGCTTACATGCTCACGTCAATTAAGGCGTAGCTAAAATTTGCAGGCGGTCTTTATACCTCCTATTATCAAGGTAGAAACTTACACTCAAATTTTCTGCTAAACTATCTAACTAAATAAATAAATATACAGCATATATTGCACTAATAATCGAACTATTCTTTCCTCTCTGGTCTGATACTCCAGCGTCCGCTTAACTACAGCTAGGTATTAATCTATCCGTAAGCTGGTTTGTCCGGCTTCCTAAGCAATAGACACTTCTGCTCAGCAAAAGAATAGAACTATTATTAGAACAACAACTAATAGTCGAAGAATTAATTATAAAAAGGCGATAAATTAAGGAATTCCTTATATCACACCCCTCACCAATGGAATTTAGCGAATGTTTATAAGTGGGTGGAGCGCGCAATTTTCGGATCCTGTCACGAACTAAATTTTGTGTTATGCTAATATAGAAGCATCATATTTATTTCGGGGTACAATATCCATTATTATTATACCGTTACACGAACGTTGCATCTTACAAAATGGGGTCCGGTTCATTTCATCGACAATCATTTCGCCGACAGTACGTTTCACCGACATAAATTTCAATGATAAGTGCGATAAACAATGCGTCACGTGACATGACTGTCGGTGAAGTGTACTGTCGATGAAATGATTGTCGATGAAATAAATGCCTCCCTACAAAATGTGCTACATTGTCCGCCTTGTCTATCAGCAACATGTCTCAAATAACCAAGGATTCATATAAAGAATGGCTTGACAAGAGCATTCAAGAAGGTTACATCCATTGTTGTACAGAAAGTGATATCGAATTAGATCCTCTAAATATTGGCCATGGATCATACGGAGTGGTTTATAAAGCAACGAT